CTATCCTCACACAATTTTTGCCAATATTTTAGGCATCTGTTAGCTGCCTAGTTCCTATCCTCAAGGTATTTACAATCTAGGGAAGTCAAACATATAAACAACTACAATTCAACACAAAATGAATTCGTGGCGGCAATAAAAGATACAGAAAGTGCCCTGGCAGGGTAGCTCCGTTGGTTTGACAGGCAAGGTTGCGGTTTGACCGGTGGCCTGTCATGGCACATACACTAATCAACCAATGAGTGAGTGTCTGGATGGGTGGAACGACAAATTGATGTTGATGTCTATCTCTCTGTCTGTCTCTCCCTTCTTCTCCCTCCCCTTTCCCCCCCCCTCTCTCAAAATCAAATAAATTTTTAAAAAGACCTATTCTGTCAAAAAACAAAAAGATACAGAAGGAAAGAGGCTCTGGAAATTGTAAAGGTTAATTCCTTCTCACATAGGCCAGGAAAACAGTACTTTTGTTCCCCTTTACACAAGTAGGAAATACTGAGATCTCATGGAAATGATTTGAAGGCACTCATATGCTTAAAAATGTATTAATACAACACAGCATTAAAAACCCCAAACTATACGTGCAAGTTTTCTAATTTCTCAGTCCTGTGTAATTGCCTCAATGAAGGCTTAAAGTGACTTCTTTACACCTGTCTCTCAGACTTTTCATCCACAGGAGACATTACGAGGCATACTGGAGTAAGAATAAAAAGGAGAACTGGAACTGTATATACCCAGAACATTTCCAGGCAAGTTTGGTCCAGAATAACATAATAGTTTAAGTTAGGAGACTTTCATTTAAATATATCCAAATGTATTTTATTTATAATTATTTGAAAGTAAATAACTAAATGCTACTCTGAAGTATGTGAGCTAAAACTAGAAAATACAAATGAAAGAAAATTGGGAATAAATAAATGGCTAAGTAATTGAGCAGTTACATAAACACAGTACAGGTAAAAAGTAGGTTTACCATTGTATGTATTACTATTGTGTTATTTTCCATACGAACAACGGTGAATGTATTTTTGCCCCACCCTGTTTAAGGCATAAGTTCTACTAAGAACCTTTTAAATGGGATTTATGAAAAGTTATCTCATTTGCCCTATAATTATTGACTACAGAGAATAATAGATCTCCTTCATATATAAAAATTATAAGCCTTTAGTCAAAGTAATTTAAGGAGGATGGGTCTAAAGAAAACCTGTCAGCTACTTTTTACCCAGGAATCATTTGGTTCCTTCATTAGGCATTTCTAAATATAACTTCAAAAGAGGCCAGGAGATAGTAAAAAGGAAACAAATTTTACTCTAAATATTTCAGGACCACTTTTAAAAGCAGCTAACAGCTTGTCAATATTGTCCATTCCTCACAATTTGCACATTTTTTCATAAGTAATGAAAAATTAAAGGTGAAGAGGTAAAAAGTATATATTACTTGCTAAATAAAAAAGTTCAACCTCAAATTCACAGTATGTGACTTACAGGCAAAAAGCAAGTGACTTTTCCCACCAAAGTGAACTTTATTTACATGGAGAGAGAGACACACACATAGAGACAGAGCTACTGTTTTTTTTAAATAAATAGAAATATATTTTCCTTCCATTTAAACTTACCAAATGAAATACTAATCAACAGTAAAATCTCCCAGGTTCTCCGAATTTTTCTCAATTCTCTCATCTGCAAAGTGCTTTGATGGGTCTCTAGCTCTTAAGCCTGCCTCCTCTATAAAGGGAAAAAGCAAACCCTCTCTCTCCCTAAACATCTGAGGCACAGGAAAAGAGATTTTCAAATAAGGCAATAAAACAAAAGCAAACAAAACCTTGTTTTTGTTTTTTTTCATAAAAGGATATGGTGTACAACAGGGTTTGAATTTAGGGCGTTACCCATAGACGAATCTTATGCCTATGAAGTCATCCCTAATTACGGAGTTTGACTAACAATACGGCAATTATGAAACCACTCCACTGGCTCATTTAACTACACTTAACCCTGAACACAAATCTTTGTTGAGAAAGGTGTACCTGCAAATAAATACCTGAAACTATTACTCAAATTCTGAAAGGTATTTGCTGGGGATGAGGAGGGGGTGTCTGTTTCCCCCTAAGGTGTTTCACTTTAGGAATGCAGCTGACTGAGTAATCTATTTACTAGTCTGTCATTCAGTACCACGTGGGCCAGGAGGCTGGGCACACACGTTGAAAAACTCAACCCTGGATAATTAAGAGTTGATCATGAACTTTATTTTTTTTTCCTTGAAATTGAAAGGCACCTAAAAGAAAATAGCAGGGGATAGATTCACCACAGACTATCCCAACCACTGGTATGCCAGGTAAATAGAATTGGGAAAGCAAGGCTGATTCCTTAAGTCAGAGATCTGGCAACACATACTAGTACTTACACTAGTATCATGAAGAGAGCGACAGAGTGAATAAAACATGGAAGAATACAATATTTTACTATAAATGAAAAGAAAAACCACCACAGTCACTGCTATGTGAACATTCTACAAAAAAGGTGTGTATGTATCCCCTTTCTCCATTCAAAAAAGGCAGAGCTTTAGAACACCCACACTTCACATACCTACCTATACCAACAGAAACTGCCACCCTGCCTCCTCCCTAGTTAGGCAAGTCAAGAGCACTAGTCTCCATGTCAGATGGGCGTATAACATCCTGAGCTCCAGCTCACCTACTCTTACTATGATTACTCAAGCTCCAGTTCCGTGTTTCCAAATGACTTTAGATTTCAACTTGAATGTCTACCATATTCACCCACTTATTTATTTACTAGAGGCCCGGTGCCTGAGATTTGTGCACGGGGGCGGGGGGGGTGGTCTGCAGGAAGCAGGACGGACCTCTCAGGACCCCTTAGTGGAGGTCTGCCTGCCGGCTTAGGCCCGCTTCCCCCGTCCCCCGGGAATTGGGCCTAAGCCGGCAGGCTGACATCCATCTTGCAGTCTGGGGCTCTCACAGTCCAGGACCCCTAGCTCTTACTGCCTGCCTACAGCAGAGTGGGGAGAGGCTCCTGCCACCCCTGCTGTGCTTGCCAGCTGTGAGCCTGGCTTCTGGCTGAGTGGCGCTCCCCCTGTGGGAGTGCACTGACCACCAAGGGGCAGCTCCTGCGTTGAGCGTCTGCCCCCTGGTCGTCAGTGTGCATCATAGTGACTGGTCACTCCGCTGTTTGGTCTATTTGCATATTACGCTTTTATTATATAGGATAGTGAAGCCATAATTGAAGGCTTGGTAGGTGCCAGGCAGTGCTGGGTGCTGCAGATATAGAGAACAAGGATCCAAAGCCCTTCTCTTGGGGAGCTGTCTAGTGGGGAGAACAGATGGAAAAACAAAGACATAATATTAGTGCTATCATGCTATTACAGTCATATTTACTGAGTGGTGGGCGTCAGGAAAGGTTTTCCAGAGCAAGTAACTTTTGAACTTTATCTTAGGACATAAGTAGGAATCCCTGAAACAGATATCACTGGTAAAGACATTCTAGGCACAGAGACAAAGAGGAGACGCCATTCTGGAGCTGGAGAAAGATAGTGTGGTTGGAGCACTGTGTCTAGGGTTTGTGACAGACGCAACTGGAGCAGAAAGTCAGGTCCAACTTAGAGGGGCTACAGTAAAAAACTGGACTTGACCCTCTGGCCAAAGGAGAAGGAAGCTCAGTGAGGAGGATTCCAGTCAGGAAAGTCTGAATGTCTACAATTGAACTTATTGCTACATTATTTCCCCACTTTCAACAATCTCTCCTGCTAAACCAGATCTCCTTTTCAACTTACCCACTTTCCTCTGTCTCCAGGTCTACAAATTTGGGACTAAAATTTGGCCACAAGAAACAAGAGGAAAGGGTGAAATAAATCACTAAGCATTCTGGATTCTTCCATCATACAATTTTATCATCTCATGTCTGGTCTACGCCAAAAGCCTTTTTAGCTAATGTATATAGTCTTGTCTCCCTCCAATGTAATCTTGACACCGCTAACTTTCTGAAGAGCAGATCTATGATATATTTCATACCCAAAAGCCCCAACTTTAAAGCACAACATTCAAGGCCCTAAACTTTTCTATATTGATGCCTGCCAATCTTCCCAATGTTATTTCCCATTATATGCACTGCACTCTTGAATCACACTCTATAAAGATACCCCATTCCCCAAGCAGACCATGTATTTCCTCACCTTCAGGCCTTCTCTGTGGAATGTTCTTCACCAATCTCCTATCTATTCTTCAAGAGCATCTTTAAGGAAGTCTCTTCAGACTGCCCCATCTGAGACAAATATTCTCTCTTCCCAGTACTCTCACAGAATTGTGTGTTTTCTTCTATTATAGCCAGTGCTGGATTCTTTCAGAGTGCTCTAATTTTAAATATCATTTTACTCTCAGACCATATGTACCAACTTTTGAATGGGAAAATATAGTCACCACAATGATAGCATTTAATACTATTACGCAAAGTTCTTTGATAGACG